TCGTGTAGGGTCACTGTTAGTTGAAATCAACTTGATAGCACAAAACAATAAAAATATAGAATTTTATAGTCAATAAATAACTTTTATTAAAAAGAACAAAATGATAAGAAATAAGGATTATGTCAGGAAATTCATCAAGTTATGATGTGCTAGGATGTGGGGGGTTTAAAATCAAAAGGACATGGTCTGAACTTTTGAGGAAAAAAATGCACAAGAAGGTATAACACAACGTGGCAAACGTAATCCTAGAGCCACATGATAAGATCCATATTTTAGAAAGTGATTGACTCAGCAGTTTCCATTTCCTTCTTTTCACCCTCCCCGACTCATGCAAGCCAGCTCTCAGAAACTGAATCACAAGTGTGAAGGGGGTTCCCCAAGAGACCAATGAAGGAATGTCAACTTGGCATCGGTTGAGAGCTGGAGGCAGAAGGGACAGGGTGACTGAGAGTTTCCAATGAAACAAGTGATAGAGACTTCTTTATTTGCAGTTGACAAGAGAGAGGATACTTGGATGCCAACACCTGGATGAAACTCACCGTTGTCCCTGATTTCCCCTTTGCTTCGCCTCCCTCACAACCAGTCTTAGCAATCATAGAGATGGGAGGGAAGCAGAGTCCATGTGCTTCAAGCAACTCTACAGATAGAGGAAGTACAAGAATTCTTAAGGTGTGACCTTTCTTTGCTTATGTCTAATTTCCTCCATTGTTCTCCACTACCTAACGTGCCAATTCTAATCCCCTTTGTGGGAATTTAAGACCTCTTTGGTTTAGCCCCAATTTAGCTTCCTTATCCACATTTTCCCTGACCACTTCGCAGCTCCCCTAAGCTACTCACTCTCCCCTCTGAGCCACCATTCCACACCTCTGTGACTCTGTGTCAGCTGGACTGCTACCTCATACCCCATCTATATATGTTCCAATCCTGTGTATCTTTCAAGACCCAACCAAACTCTCTTCACCTCCATGAAGCCCCCCCTGGTCCTCCTATAGAAGGTCATCTCTCTCTCCTTCTGGTTTTCTGATATTTCATTTATTGTTGTCTTAGGAGTCTTAGCGCTTTCTGCTTTGTGCTGTGGTTTCTTGTTTACACAGTAACAAGAAGTACGAAATAACTAGAAGAAACTGAAATTGTCAATGATTTCATTCTTCTTGGCTCAACAATCAACATCCACGGAAGCAACAGTCACAATC